GCTGGCGGGCTGACCGCCCCCCACTCCTCCTTTTCAAGAGGATCGCTCATCGGTGCCCAGAATCACAGCCAGCTCCCCCTTCGGCCATGCATCCCGTTTAATAAAACACAAATAAAATGGCATGAGGATTTTCGCCTTAAAAAAAAAAAGAAATTAACAAGGGGAAGATGCTTCCCAGCCCCAGATACCCAGAAGAAAAGTTGCAACAGGCATATAAATAGATTTTTAACCCCAAACCTGACTCCTCTCATACGAGCTTTATTACGCAGCTATCTCCTAGCTATCGTCTAGGAGACAAAACTTGCCTATTCCTTATTTGAGTACAATTCCCAGTTCCTCCAGCGGGATCTGCGCCTGCGAAATCACTGCACCAGGCAGGTCTAACACAATTTGCTCGTCGTACGCTGGTCGTGCAGACAGACAACGTAGCTAAGGCCTCGCAAACGTCCCCGGGAACGTCTGGCAAACCTAAAAGCAAAAGGCCATTAGAGCGCAGGAGAGACGGGAAAGGGCAAAAGGAGTCGGGCTTCAACGTGAAAAGCAAACAGCTTCAAAAAGCGTTGTTGGACGTTAAAGTCAAAATCAGATTGGGCAAAGGCAGTCTTTTCTGGTTAAAAATAAGTCCCGAATCCAGATCGTTTTCTAGCATATTATTTAATTAAAAAAAAGAAAGGCGGGGGGGGAGGCCAAGATTTAGCGCTGCCCCCGAAGCCTGGTTTCCCTCTGCTCCCTAGCGTCACCGTCACGGACTGCTTCGGAGCCGCGCACGCGGGGTCGGGGCACCGGCGGGGGCTTCTCACGTCGGGCGCGCTCTCGACGGACGCGCTTCCTTCTGCTGCACGCAGCGAAGGCGAGAAACGGCAGCCCTAGGCCAGCAAGAACGGAAAATCCTACCCGAGCCCGGCACATTTTCGAGGAAGCTCTGGGTTAGGAGGAGAGCTAGCAGCTTTCTGTCCCTTCCCGCTCTCTCCTCCCCCTGAAAAAAGACAGGCTCTCTCCTAAAGACATACCAACGCTCCTTCCGCAATGCTCTATTTAAAGGAGAAATTTGTTAATGGCTTGGGGAACTACAAGAGTTTTGAAGGAACATATAAAAACATCGACCGTGCAAAGCAACCCTTTTCCCCCACGATAAGGAAGGGGGGGGGGGAAAAAAAACAACAACCCAACAGACTATTCGGCTGCTCTCTGCACCGGATTATTAATTATTTTTTGTTGGGGGACGTTGGCACGCGTTTCTATAACTCCGCTGAGCCGGTTTCTCTGCTTTGCATCGAAGACTGAGGTGCTGGTAGTTGGGCATTTTTTTTAAGTTGACCAGTAACAGCTATAGGGTCATCATTAGTAAACAAAACGATAACTTCTCTACGTCGTTTTCCAGGAAGCCTAGAAATGATTCAAGGTTTCCTGTACGTGTGGCTGCCGCGCTTTCACATCTCGCTCGCTCTTCACGTAGCTAGGCTCAGAGCGCCGCTCGGCCTTTTAAAAGGCAACACACATCAGGTAACTCCCAATTTCACCTCCGAGCTTTCCGGCACCGCTTTCAGTTTTCTTTTGCCCAGAAACGCTCCATGAGAAGAGTTTTAACTATTAAAGTTGCAAAGCAGGAGTCCAGCCTAAGCAAGGGGGTTTTCTCCCCCCAACCAGGGGGCTCGAGTGAACACTGCTGGGCTCTCAGCTTTAGAGGGTTTTATTTTATTCCCTTCCTCGCTGGAACGCAAAGGGGAATCATAAAACCATTTTTCCCCGGTCTCCATAAATCACTTTATTCATGCTACGTGAAGCAAGGAGGCGGTATCTTTTTAGACCGACTGATACAGCTGGTAAAAACAGACATGTTCTCAGGCTTGCAAGCCTTTCTCTGGGTCCCAGCGAAGCATTTCTTACAGTTTCAGACGCTGCTTTGCCATTCTCTACCAGTCCAACCTTCGCTTCCCTCCTTCAAACAACAGTTTCACGTCTACATTTAAGAAATCCTGTTGTACATGTTAAGATATTGAGAACTGTGGGGGAAAAAAAAAAAAGGCCAGTGGTACAAGGCCAGCCTTTGGGCTAGTTCAGCTCTGTTCCTCTCAAACCAAAACTCAGCTCCTACTCTTTCCAGCCAAAGCTCCTGCGGAGAAAACGAAGATGCCAAACTAACAGGTCTGCTTGGGCAACCATTAGTACAAAATTAGATACGCCTGCACCCTCCCAAATCCAGGAAGTCGGAGTCGGCCCCCTGAGTCATCCAGCGGTAACGGGGATGGACAGACAGCAGCAGCCCACCCAAACGCCCACCTGGACAGGCGGTGGCAACGGGCCTCGTCCACGAGGGGTCTTTCCGGCCAGCAAGTCCTAGCCCTAAGTCCTTACACTGCCTTTCTATCAGTCCGCTAGCAAACGTAGTGCCGCGCTTAAGCGTTGTACTTGATAGGGGATGTCGCTTTGTTGTCGTTGTTGTTGTTTGTTAAACGCTGCTACCGGTTTTTGGTAGGCGAGTTCGTTTTGAACGCCAGTTGTGCATATGGAATTAGTTGAAGAAAGGTAATGGAAAAATTTATTTGCGGGGGGAGAGGAGGAAGTTGCTTGGAGGTTTTGCTCAATATTATCCGCAAACTTGGCTCCCGATCAGGAAGACCCAGACCCAAAAGCTGAACTATTGTTGCTGAGAAAAAGTCAACTTGCGTTTTTGCCCATTTAGGGTGATTGCACGCGCCTCAGAGCCAGAGAAACGCTAGCATTGTTTGGGAGTTGGCTTTTCTTAATTAAAAAACAAAAGTAATATATAATTTTTTTCATTTGCATGTTATTTAGCGTCCTTTTATTGGCTCTGCATGCTCTTCAGACAGAGCTGGAAACAAATGCAACGGGGGCTTAGCAGGAAAGATAATCAGCCTGGAGCGGGTGGCTCTCTGGAGTCAACCATAACATGATCGATTAAGCACAAAAAAGCTTGCGCAGTGCCTGCCTCTGTCTCTGAGCCTACTCAGTGACGGATCCTTCCCTCTCCAGAGGAGAGAGGCACACGCACGTCGCGGAAGAAGTGTTGTATTTGGCAGTCATGCTTAGGACGTTATGCCTTGCCACTGCTGCGCTATTTCTGAGGTCTTTATTGATAGAGAACGTGGCATAGGGAAGCACTGGATATGCAAAAAGGGAGGGGAAAAATGATTTGGTCATTTCACCAATAATAAAAATATTATTCTTTAATGCTACTTCTCAAAGGCTTTTAACAGTTTAGTTTAAAACGTCTCTCAAGACTGAGGGCTTTTCTTGAAAATCAGCTCCACAACGCCCTAGTCCCTCCCTGCTAATCAGGACAGATGGGAAGAGGAAAAAAAAAGGAGGAACGTCGAGAAGGATAATGGAAAAGGCTCCTTAAGAAGTCACAGTTCCACTCGCACCTTTATGCCACCGTATCAGGCAGTCTAGGGGATGAAGAGCT